GGCCTGGGGGACGCGTCACCCCGCGTCTCCAACCCGGACGACCCCCGCTGCCCGGCCAAGTCCATGCCAAGGTAGGCAGGGGCAGGGGGGGGGAGGGGAGGCGGGAGGGCTGGGCCGCGCGGCCAGTTTCTTGGCGCGTCGGGTTCTTTCTCTACCCCGGCGCTTATTTATTTATTTCTGGGGCCCGGCGCCCCCACCTGCGCGTGCCCATCAGTTGGACACCCCATCCCGTGCCTCGGGGCAGGTGCCCTGGGAGGCAGGACCGGAAACTTCGACCGGTCCCTTCTTCAGGGCCACGAAAGTTCTCTCCGTGCCAAGCTGAAGCCGACGGAACCAGCGCTGCAGAAATTTATTCAACAAGTCAGGCTGCCGGCGGCCGGGCGTCGGTCTGTCCGTCCCCTGCCCGCGGCTGCGGCTCTGCGGCCAGGTGCACCAGAGCTGCTGAGCTGGGGGAGCCCGCAGGGAGAGCGCAGGGCCAGCGGGCTGAGGGGATCCCAGGCAACGCCGAACTTTCCTGGAGGCCGGTGGGAGCATCGCCTCCCTGGCCAGCTCTTGAGGGGTGCCAGAGACCTTCCTGCTGGAAGCCGGGTGGGGGTCAGTGGAGCTGGGGCTCCGGGGCAAAAGGAGCCCTCCGCAGGCTGGGGCTGGTTATATAATGAGTGTTTATGATGATTGGATTTTAATTGTCTGCTGGGTGGTGTGTGTGTGGGATGTGGGGGGCAAGAGGCCTCGGCAGGGGGTGGGAAGGCCTCTTGGGGGAGCTGATGATGCCAGAGGTGGGGGTGCTGGTGGGCGGGGGCTGAGGCTGGGTGGACTCCGCCTGTGTCTTTCTCCTTTGGGGGCTTGGGGGCTCCAGGGCCGTGGTGAGACCGGTGCCCGGGGGGTCCCCTGAGCTCTGTGCTGACCCCGGGAGTCGGCGTTTGGGGCAGGTGTGTGCGTGTGCGTGTGCACGCGAGGCCGAGGCAGAAAGCTGCTTGCGTCTGTGCTGTGTGTGATGGGGTCTGACAAGCTGGGTGAGGATGTCCTGGGGGCTGGAGCGCTCAGGCGGCCCCAGCAGGCAGCTGTGACCTCCTGCCTCCCTGCGGGGGGCTCCCCCAGGGGGTCAGTGCAGCCTGACAGCCAAGCAGACCTGGCGTGGGTCCTTGGCCCCGGCGGGCGGTGGGGAGGGGTCCGCCCTGGAGTCGGCCTGCTCCTCGCCTTCGCTCCTCAGGCCAGGCCCACTCTGCCGGGCCACCGCTTGGATCAGCGTCTCCCCTCCAGCCCACGGCCTGGTTTCGAAGCTCCTGTCCACCCTTCAGTGTGAACTTTCCATTCAGGCTCCAGTTCCTGACGTGGGGTGGGGACTGGGTGGGGAGCCCAGATTGCTCCTGGCCCTTGCTGAACCCGAGGGAGGGGGGCCAGGGGGTGACAGGGCAGGGTGCAGGAGCAGGGACAATTCTGGGGCTGTAGCTGGGAGGAGGAAGAGGAACAGAGGGGACCTTCCCCTATAGGTGTGAACCACAGGGGCTCATGAACCCCAGCAACCTCATCCCCCTGCACCCTCCACTCAAGTGGCTGGGCGCCATGCCACGCCCTCGAGCTCCCTCCCTGCGACTAGGGCTGCCCTTGGCACCGTGATGGGCAGTTTGGGGGTGGGGCTAGACCAAGGTCCTCTGCCCCCTTCCCCACACTCCCTTTCCAGGCTCTTCTGGCCCAGCAGGGGGCACAAGCTCCAGCTCCCTCATCCTCGCCAGCCTCCGACTCCCCTTGACCTTGGGTGGGGAGGTGGGGGCGGAGGAGGCTGCCAGAACCCCACTTCTCCCACCCTCTGTCACCGGCTCCGGACAGCCGCCGGGAGCCCAGCCGGGAGCAGCTTCCTCCCTGGGGTGCTGGATCCAGACCTGCACCCTGAGCCCCTGTGGGGACCCCACCTCCGATTCCCCTCCCTCAGCCCCCTTCATTGCCCCTCCCACTGCCATCTCTGCCACCCTCACCCTGGGCTCTGCCTCCCCACACGGGGCTCCCCTGGGCTCAGCTCTTCCAGCAGAGTCTGTTTCTGTGCACCCCTCTGTCTCTCCCTCACCCCAAGAGGTGGTTCCCCCAGCCCCCTTTCCCAAAGGTGGGGAAGGGCTTTACGGGTCCTTGGTTTGAATCTGTCTTGCCCTGGGCTCTCGTGTTTTCTGAGTGCTCAGTCCCAGCTCAGGGGCTCAAAAAATACATCTGGAAAGGGGATGCTGGGTTGGGTCTGGGGATACAGGAGACCCCAAGTGCTGCAGGGCAAGCAGAACCCTCCCTTCCGCTCGCTCCCACCCCCTCCTTCCTTTCTTGTCCTCCTTTTCCTCCCCTCCCTCCTGTCCTTTCCTGCGGAAACTTCTCTTCCCACACGCTCCCAGGTCTGCTGTCACCTTGTGCCCTCAGCCCTGGGGCCACAGAGCAGGGCTGAGCTTCAGAGACAGGCCCGGGCGCCCGTGGTCTGGGTCCCGGCCCGTGACCTGCGGCCCGCACGGGGCTGTGAGTCTGGGAATGCGGGAGGGGCGGCCTGCAGGGCTGGCCCGGCCTCTGCTTCTGTGCTGGCCCTGGGGCCTGTGGTCCCATAGTCTGGAATGCACGGGCAGGGCCCGTCCCTCTGGACGGCCAGTCTTGGGAGGGAGGAAGACGGACCATACCCCCATCTCCCGCTCTCTCCTATTTATAAGGCGCCTACTGTGCGCCCGCCGGCCCCCCTCCCGTGTGCACTGGACACCACAGTGATCAGAGGGAACAAAGCCTGCCCTCTGCACCCCGGGGTGGGGGTGGCCCGAGGCCTCCCCCACACCGCTGTCCTGCCCACTAGCTCCTGTCACCCCCTGTCTTCTTGGAGCAGAGAATGGGGTAGTCTGGTATATGGAGGGGCGTGGATACTGGAGTGCTCTGAAAGCCCAAGATATTTGGATGCTCTTGAGCAAGTTCTGGGGGTTTCTGGGGCTCCTTAAGCAGGGAAGATGAGAGGAAGCGGAGGCCACGGTTGTTCCGGGGGAGCTCAGTCTAGAGCCTTCATCTCAGAGGCCCTACCTCTGCCAAGCCCTCTTTTCTTGCAGTCAGGTAGGCAGTTGAGCTGAGCATGTACTTAGGAAGAGAGCCAGGGCTTCCCTGAACCCCCACTGAGTGCGCCCCAGGGCAGCGAGGGGTCCGGCCCCTCTCCTTTGGTCCAGGAACTGGCTCTGGCCCTGAGCTCTGGTTCAGGTCTCAGGACACGAGCACGTTCATGACTGCGGGCTTGGTCCCAGCGAGCCCCTAGATTCCTGTAAGTCGGGGTGCTTTCCACCACAGAGGACCCCCGGGGGCTCAGCGGGGCCTGTCCAGGGCCAGCCTCGGCAGTCCAGGCAGGCGGCTTTCTCGCGACGGTTCTTCCCAAATCTCCTTCCCCATCTGCTCTCCCTTGCCGGGGTGCAGCAGAATTGTGCTGCATTTCATACCAGAGGAAGTGGCGTGGGGGGCCAGGGCGATGTGGTGAGGGGGCAGCTGGGACCCGAGCGTAACCAGGACTCCCTGGCCAGAGCTCTGCCGGCTGGACTTGCCCGCCGGGAGCCGCGTCCACCCTGGCTTGTTAGCTGAAGTATGACCCAAAGCCCTAATTACTGCAGAGTGAGTAAAAAATGATCAGCAGAGTCTCCTGCTGGGAAACGTTCAAACACGCTGATGGGGATTCACACACACCCCACTCCGCACTCGTCACGCGCCCGGAGCGGGGAGCGGGTGACACAGCAGCCCCTGGACGGGTGCTGGGCCGGGTGCAGCCCCTGTCCACACCGGGGCCTGCGCGGCCCTCCCTGGGGCCTGGGTGTGGGCTCCGGACCGGATCCCAGCTCCTTGGTAGGTAGCGCTTGACCTTGGGAAACCCCGTAAGTTCTCGGGGCCTCCGTTTCCTGACCACGAAGTGAAGAGACCAGGAGCGCTTACCGCATGGGTAGTGTCAGGCTTGGGTCGCCTCATGGGAGGCTGTTGACCCGCCCCTGGACGCCGCAGCGCAGGAGGCTGCTGGGACCTTGGTGCCAGCCCAAGCTGGCCCAGTGTGTGGGCAGGCCCAGCTGGCCAGGCCGGCGTCTTGCATCCGGCCACGCGCTTGTGGCCAGATGGCAGCTGTCATCTTCAGGTGCGAGGAAACGTGCCTGGCTGTGGCTCCCCCGGGGAGCTGAGGGCCCCAGGGGGTCCCACGCCTCGCGGGCGCTGCCTCTGGCTGGGGCGCCCGGGCTGCTTGAGGACAGTGACCGCAGGTGGACGGCGCCTGCTCTGCTCCGGGTGCCAGGCGCGGGCCTGGGCAACCTGGGCGGCGCGAGGAGGTGAGCGTGGACGTGAGCGTGGAGGGGTCCCTAGGAGGCAGACGCGTGGGCTGGGGAGCCGGGGGCTGGAGGCCGACGAGGCTGGGGTGGGTTGGGGCTCGCTGGGTGAAGACCCCTGTGCAGACATAACAGTCCAGGGCCAGCCCCTGCGTTTCCTGAGTTCCAGGGCTCTGGAATTCTCCCGGGGAGCGTCCCTGGGTTCTGGCTGCTGGCCTGCGTCTGGGGCATCTTGGTTTTCTGGACAGGGTGCCCAGCCCTGCCAGGCTGGTGTCTGCCGCGGAGGCCTGGTGTCGGCGTGGATCGGTGCCCACGGCCTCGGGTCTGGGTGGTTCTGGGCTTCCTGGATGGCTCTGTGGCCTGACGTTAGCTGGCGTGTGGCGGCTGACGAAGGCGCGGAGAGCTGCGGCCAGGCGCTCGCATGTACACGCACGTGGACTCTCCTGGCCTGGGCCTCCGGTCTTTCTCCACCAGGACTCTGGGCGCTGCAGACACAGGGTCGCCCATACTTTATCCCAAGGGCTCTGGCACGCCAGTGGAAGATTCTGGTTTCCCCACAGAGCTAGGAAGCCATGGAGGGCCTTCACCCACCGGGGAGCCCAGGCCAGCGGCTGTGGTGGCTCCGCCTGGTGACTCAGCTTTGGGGGGCCAGGCTCCAAGGGCGCCCTTACCCGGGGTTTGTCATGATTCACTGCCTGGGCTCAGGGGTGGGAGGGCCCCATGCCAGCTGGGACCCCTGGCACTGCTGGACCTCCCTGGGCCCTGTCTCCTTCTCCATGAAGGAGGAGTAGGCCTGGCCTGCGTGTCAGGGGGCTGTGGGCGGAGCTGACCCACGATGTGCAGAAAGCGCCTTCCGGTCACCTGGCGTAGGGTCAGGCTCCGTGGGGGCTGGTGGTCATGGTGTTGCTGTGGTGGTGCTGATGGTGGTGCTGGTGGTTGCTATGGTGATGATGGTGGTGTCAGAGTCGGTGGTGGTGCTGGTGATAGCAGGGAGAGGGAAGGCACAGCGGCCCCGTGCCTGCCTCAACGACCCCCTCGAAGGGTCCCCGAGAGGCCCCTTCTGCACCACACTGCTCCTGCGTGTGCGCGGGGCCCACTGAGCCAGGCGGGGGCTGATTCCACTGAGGGGAAACCACGGCTCCTGCTCGTGGCGTCACGGGGGTCCAGACCACCGCGGGAGGTGCCTGAGGGAGGAGGCGCCGGCGGCGGGCTCTGGGGCCAGATGGGCCGAGCCGGACTCCCCAGGCTGCCCTGCCCCTAGCCGGGTGCCCTGGTCCCTGGGAGGGGCTCAGCTCCTCCCGACCCGGCTACGGGCAGCCGGTGACAGGAGCTGGTGCAGCACAGGTCAGAGGGAGCAGGACTGGGTGGGCGGAGGGCGAGGCGGGGTGCGGGGCGGGGGAGGGGTCGGGCAGCCTGGCCCCTGGGCCCACCCGGCCCTGCGCCGACCTCCACAGGAGGCCCCGGCAGCACTTCCCACGGCTGGGCTTGGAGGGGGGGCTGGGGGTGCACAGGGCAGTGTGCTCAGGCTCCCGGCCTCCAAGACATGCCTGCAGCCACCCCTTCTTCCCACCTCCCCAGCATCCTGCCCGCACCTCCCGGCTCCTCTGGCCTCCCTGGTCCGCCCTCCGCCCCCTCTGGCTGCAGCCCTGGGCGGTGGCTGAAGACGGCCGAGCGCACACCCTCCGCACACAGAGCCCCGGCCTCCTGTCCTGCGGCCCTTGGGACGAGAGGCCAGGCCCGCTGACCTCTCCGGGGGGCAGGCCTCCTCCCGCCGTGCCGTGGCCCGGCCCAGCGCACAGCCTCATTTGTGTTCCTCACCTGTGCTGAGCGCTGCCCGGCCTCCAGCCTTCGCAGCTGCTGTCCTCCTGCCCAGCGCTCTTCCTGCAGCTCGCCCGTGGCTGATGCCTTCGGGTAACATTGAGTCATTCGTGCACACAGAGCTGGCGTACAGGCCAGAGGTGCGGGGCGGTGAGAGGATCCACCAGACACAGAGTGGGGAGCAGAACAGGCAGATAGGTGAGGTACACTGCTGAGGGGAGCAGCGGGGAGACAGGAGGGGTCTGCGGCGCCCTGGGGGTCACCCCGCAGCCGGGGATCGAACTTGTGCTGAGGTGGCTGCGGCCGGCTTCACAGTGCAGCGCTCTAACCCTTTGCGCCACCAGGGAGGGCCTCTTACTGCTTTTCTGTGAAATGTTTCTTCAGGGAGGACAAAGTGGCTTCTCTGCACGCCTACCTTTCTTCCTCGTTTATGCTTCTCAGCACTTTTTAGACATTTCTTCAGAAAATTTGTCAAGCACCTTGTTTCGGGCAAGGGCCCGGTGCTGGCGCTAGGTCCAAACAGACCCCGGCCCTGAGCCCCAGGCCTCGTTCC